ACTTATAACTTCTACTCCACTACATATCAGAGTGAGGTATTGCACTTAAAACTAAACACAACAATCTAAAATGTTCAGATAGTCTCTGCGTGCTCTCACCCTCGAAGGAGACATTTCCCAGGTGTAATATGGCTGCCAGCAGCTTGAGGATATCCTGACACTGGCTTTCTGAGAAGGTCAGGATTTTCATCGCAGAGCAAATACGCTTGTAGTCTTTGGCATCTTCCCTGCCTCCACACACGATACAGCCGCCCTACAGCACACCAGGGGGAAGGTTTAGATCACTCACCGTATGTAGACGATATGTCATTTATTTTGGTTAAGGTGACAAAATGAGCAGCAGGTTGTAATACCTTGGTGAGGAATTTGTATTCCTTAGCATGTCCAAGGCTCAAAAGCTTCTTCTCCTCAGCTGTGACTCCTGCCAGCATGCAGTAAAACATGTGGTAGTTTCTCTCCTCCAGGGCCTGAGGTTGTGGAGTAAAAAGTAAATAATTGTTGCAAAAAAGTAAAGGTGTTTGAAAGGTTTCATTTTTCTATCAATTCAACATTTAACACATGGTCTCCTGTCTCCACATGCCCTGAGTACATGTTGCCCATGATAACAGCATGTTTATTTAAGCAGCCCTGTTTTTATAGGTTTACAGTACAGAGTGGCCCACTGGAGAGATTAGTGGGTTTGTTAGGATAAAGCCACCTCACCTGATGGCAGACACGAGACTTCTCCAGAAGATACTGTTCTACGCGAGCACCTTCAATCACTCCGTCCTTATTGAAGAAGATCTCCAAATATTTCCCAAAGCGACTTGAGTTGTCATTGCGGATTGTTTTAGCATTTCCAAACGCTGTACGAGACAAAACAGGGTTGTTTGAACACTTGGCATTGATTGCTTTTTTGTCTTTCAACCACTTTGTGTGTGTGTGTTCTCAAAAGACAGCTGTTGCTTGTCTCTTGAGTATGTCTTGGCATTAGTGAAGTAAAGTTGTACCTTCTAGTATTGGGTTGGACTCCAGGATCTGCTGTTCAAGACGTTGTTCAGAGAGCTCGCCGCTGACTGCTGCCAAGTACTGAAGGATCAGCTTAGTGCTTTCTGTCTTCCCTGCTCCGGATTCCCCACTGAGAAAAAAAGACAGAAGGAATGAAACACCTGACACATTTATTCTATTTAAGACTGTGTATGACCAACAGTTAACAGGAGTGATTTATTCTGACCTGATGATGCAGCACTGGTTCCTGAGATGGCGGGTCATGTTACTGTAGCAGGCTTCAGCGATGGCAAAGATGTGCGGAGGGAGTTCCCCCAGCTTTCTACTGTGGTACAACTTCACCTGAATGACAACAGGAAACACACATTTAACACATCACTGCGATCTTTCACAAAGAGATTAAATGATACATTGGAAATGATCTGCAACTGTAGTACCTCAGTAATGAATGTTACCTGGTCAGCTGAATATAATGGAAAATCCTGGTATGGGTTTACTGCCACCAGCACAGAGCCTGTGTAGGTCTACAATCAGAAAAAAAGGGCTGTGTAAGAACTGTCAGCTTAAAATAAAGTGACTGATTTAAGGCATTTAGTCTGTTGTGGAGTTCAGATCATCCAAATGGCACACAAAAAAACAAATTTCCTCCCTTACCCCTGTTGGGGGTAAGAGAATACCAGCTTCTGACATTTTTGCTGCCACCCCAATACAATGGTGTGTGAAATTAATTTATTAAAGATTTTCAAAGTATTTTTGTAAGTTTAACAGATTCATGAAGAACATGTAACACCAGAAAATGTCACATATTTGAATGAGTAGCACACTCTACAGTACGCAATTTAGTTTATAATAATAATCGAATTGACGTTCAGGTTTTTTAAGTGCTCAAAGTAAATGTGTTCCACAGCAAGGACTGTGCATTATCCTTCTGAGGAAGCCCTCCATTGCTTCTAGAAATGTCATTTTTTGGTATTTTGACCACAAATAAAATTCCATTGACCTGTATTGAACCAAATCTATAAGGCCAATAACTCAAAGCTGGGAAAAACAATGAACCAGCCCATTAAAACCAAGTGTAACAAATAGAATGAGATCATTTAGCTTGCTTTCAATGAAAAGAATTAACCTTATTTAAAGATTGTCCTTTAATTTGGTGACATTATTTCAAAATTTTCCAGTAATCAAACAAGTCAGTTACTGTTATCAAGAATCACCCAGGCTGAAACTGCACTTGCAAAAGTGGGGTGAATTAATGAATTAGGTTGCTTACTTTTAAAGGCAGACTACAGTTAGTGTGTTCCACATGTGCCTTACATAAATGATGCCTTGTTTGTGTCGAAGCAGCAGGTTCCTGAGGAGGCCGGCCTCGGTCATGTCTCCCAGTTTGATCATGTCTTCCACACCCTCCACTGATGTAGGGTGCATGATCTTGAGAGAAGCTTCCTGCTCCTGGGACAGACTCTGCTCCTGAGAGAGATCAAAGCGAGAAATGAAACCAAACGTTTGCAGCCTGAAAATGTTTTATGAAGCTTGATGTGAATGACATACGTTGACATCTTCATTTTTTACCTTTCCCTCATCGTTCACCAGTAACCGCTGGCCAGATGGTGTTACTTTGACCCTCGCTCCAATGGGGACCCCGATGTCCGAGTCCACCCAAACCCACTCCCCCTGAAAATACAGACAACAGTAAATATGTTAATAAATCCACTAAAATTGTTTTGTGTTTTAATGTTCCTCAGAATACAGAATTTATGAAGTTTCAGTTTACAGTATTTCCTTGAATGAATGACTGCCGGGAATGGTGACATCCAGGAACAACTGAATGATATGATGCTTTCTGGAAAGCAACACTTTATCAATAAAAGTTTCTGACTTCTGTCAGCCTTACCTTTCTCAGCATCACCAATTTTCAGCTTTTCTCCACTCCCTAAATAAAGAAACGGCAAAGGAAAAAGTGATTAACTCCATCAAAACGCTTCAAGCTCATCAGCACTGTTGTGCTCAATACCACTGGTTAAAGTTAACAGAATAACAAGGCATTTAATGTAACACACACAAAACAGTCAAGCGGTCTACCTAGCAATCCTTTTTATCAGTGATCTTCATTAATTTCCACTCTTTAAGCCGGCTGTGGAGCTGCTGTTTGCCTTGATGCCCTCCTCAATCTGTCTCACTGTGAGCAAGGAGGAAACAACTCTCTACAATTTTATGGCACTTTGACTTTGAACCGAGTGACTGAGAGGAAAAAATAAACCCACAGCTTACGAATAGGTGCGTGTGTCTCGTCATCAAGGGGGAGTCTTCCTGTCCTCATTGATCCCTGATTGTCCTTTCTGACGGGAAATCTTCTCAGAAAGTCTTATATAAACAATCACTTACAGTCATGATCCTCAAATACAATTCTGAGACTATTTTAGAGCAATAGCAGCACATTCATATATTAATATTAAATAACTCTTTATATAAGTGACCTTATTATAGATCCATCACGACCATGGGGTGAGTGTTGTAATGAATTTATGTGCAGACTTTGGACCCTGGTTGTGTAAATCTGACACTGCTGGGCATCTCACGAACTGTTACTGCAATAAAGATGTAAATATGAGATTAAATGAACTACCTTACTATTCCATTTGAATATTGTGGGCATTATGTGGCAGTAAAGATCTTCTGCTGTCAAAAATAAATTGTAATGAAATTCTATAAACTGCTAATTTCACTACATGACGAAGTTAGTGTCAGGTTCAAAGTTGTAAAACATTAAGGGAAACCTCCTTTTTACCAGGCAAGTGAGTTAATTGCACTGTTAATGTGGGTGTAAAGTCAAAGCAGCACACTTGACTAAGATGGGTGTCACTGCTGGTTATTCACTGGCGTCAGTGTGTTCAGCTCTGATAAGGAATTCTCTGCAAGGTAGTCACTCATAAACATCACTCCCCATCATTGCAGTTTCACGTGCTACTGGGGACTCCAAAGGTAGCCAGTTCAACACTGGGTGTAGTGACTAAATGTGAAATATCCGTAATGCATGTTTGTGTTAGATACAAAGATTCATTTCCTGTTTCAACTCATCAGTCTGATCTTTGACTCCATTTTTATGACACCATCGAACCACAGGAGTTATGACGCTTAAGATGATAACAGTGGGCAGTATTTATTTTAAAGTGATACTATGCAACATTCCAAAAAAAAAGTTTCTCTTTTTACAAACCAAAATCTGTATTGAATTCATAACCAATAAAAAGCACATTTGTTTGAGTAAATACACTCAAGTTTTACTGCTACAGAGTAGTAGAGTGGTCTGGTATGACCAGTTAGCTCATGGAGGCTAGCGTTAGCAAACATTTGTAACCGTTGTTACATTATCGTCTTATAGCTACAGTAGCTGTGTTTTCATCCAAATGTATCGAGAACTTTCATCAAATTACGAGAGTCAGAAAATGACCAAAAGGAAATGAATGCTTGTTTCCATCTACTATGGTTGCGTGATTAGTAGGAGTTGGTTCATCGAGATAAACAGTCATGGTGCCAATTCTCTAGTCTAAAAAAATTACATTGATAAAACATAAATAAAAACACACTAGTGACTACTTTTCAACACTTGTCATTTGCAGTGTGTTTGTCACTACAAATATACACAGTCATATCATCCATTGTTGATTGTTGATATAGAAGTATTGGTTATAGCAAATTTAAGCAGTCCTGACATTTCATGAAAATGTATGTATAGTTTATAAAGGCGTCACCAACTGTGACATAACAGTCCAGCTCACTATCTTCTGCAGGTGCAGTGAGTTTATGGCGGATTCATTACAAACACTCCCTGGCAATAAAAAAAAAAAAGACAGAAGATTATCTGTTTATTCGCAATATAAACTAAACAGTGGAGGGCATAATGTAATTCATTAGGGGAGTGTCACCCCCAATTTGTGTTCCCCTCCTCAATGACTACACCTAAATATAGTTACCTTTAGAGTAGTATTCAGATAAGAAATACACAGTTTGAGTCCTTTTTTATCCAATGGATTTTGTGTATGTACTTTATTTTTCTAGAGACAAAGACAACTATGTATTGCTCTGTGTGATGGTTTAGCAGAGTACAAATGCACTTTGAATACTGACCAGAATCAAAGTTACATGTCACAATATAACACACAGAAGCTAGACTTGAATTTTCTTTAGTTTTAACTGAGTTCAGAAATTATTATTATTTTTTTTTTAACCCTAATCACAGAAACACATCCTACTAAGTCAGTACAGTTGTTTTGATCTAGCACTTTACTTGCTGGTTTAAAATACATTTAAAGCTCATGTTACAAACTGTTTGTAAAACAAAATAACTTAAAAACATTAGCTACTGGTCTTTCAGAAATCTGGACACAAGCCTAAAAACAGCCTGTCAAACAAGAGATTTGATATGCAACAATAAAACAAAACTTGTGCAGATGTAGCATGTATGACACGACATGGCACTGTTCAACTAAAATCTGAATGAGCGAGAACTCAAAGAGGCACACTGACTTACTTTAAGCAACAAGACCCAAAACCATTTTATGAGTGCATCTGCACTGAAATAGTTTTATCTTCACTTGACTAAATTAAGACGGAAAATCACAGTTGATATTAGTGAGGTCCATAAAGTATTTGTGCAGCACAAATCAAGTCTGAGAATTAAAAAAGCCCACAAACAGCTGGAAGCACTCCAAAGCTCATGAGCCAACATAAAATACATTAAGGCCACCAACCATTTTCAGCAGCAATTCACATTCAAGTCATTCCCATGTTTTGTATTAAAAACAATAACAATGAGTTGATAAATTATTAAGCTTTGGCCTGACTGGCACGCTTAACACAGAAAATGTACCTACGTTAAGAAAAATACATTGGATCCATGAGACCCCACTTTTAAGAATTTAAATCAAATGAAAAGTCCTGTGAGCTGTACTTCATGGCTGTGACCTAAAGAGGCCCTCCAGCCCCTTCATTCACACCAGAAGAATCTGAAAGCTCTTTCTGCATAAAACACTACAAATACATACAGAAATATAAAAAGTCATGAATGGCATGTTAATATCCCTGTTTTAGCTTTCTATTACTGCTACATGTTTATTGTGGGATCCATGTAGCCCACTCTGGCCACAACAAATGATATTGCAGCCACCATAGCTTGTTAAAGATAAGTAAACTTCAGTAGTGCGGTATTCTCTATTGCTTTGCAAACGCAAATATGCTTTCACACATTAGACTGTGTACAACAGTTATGTCACATCAAAGCTGTCTTCATTAGGTCAATAAATCAGCAGCAAAATAAAACTGATTGCTGAGCTGGTTCTTTCACAGTCAGACCTGGGTCACAATTCAATTTGAAATCCATACTGAATTACATACACAGCAAGGTCTGCCCATTAGTGAGTTGACAGTTTACATGTTTTAAACCACTTACAAGAACTCATACATGTCATACAGCCAACCATTTTCCAAAGCATACCATGGTAGATTTTTTTTTACTTTTTTCCTACTTTCAAGACGGCCATTATTTCTATTACTATTTGAAGAATGCAAATCAACCTGCCTTATACCTTAAAGCACAGCTTATATTTTGGATGGATACATGTTGAATGTCTATAAATGTTGACGTCCATATATTACAAAATCAGAAAATGGAATGAAGACCAAAGAAAATGTGATTCCCTGTAACAGCAAATTCAAAAATATTACAACAATATACTTTGGAAAATGGGAAGTGATCACGTACGTGTGTGGGTTATTTGCAGTAAGTGGGATAACATAAAAACACTGGAATGGGCCTTCAAGTTGAGACTAAAACTTGGTGGGAATTTTAATTGAACTTGGACTGAGTGACGTCCCTGCTTACCACAGTAATACTGCCTTTAAACTACATGTCATTTCTACCAATCAACAAAAGAAAATGTGCAATTCCAAATGTACGTACAAAGTGTTTGTGTTCTCTACAGCACTTTTTTTAATTCTTTATAATTCGTTCTCCTCAGGCCTCTTGAGCACGGCACTGTATTTCATGGGTGCACTGTCTGCTTTGAGCTGCACCTCCACTAACGTGAAGATTGAGATTACCTGGAAGTGGAAACAAGAAATGATAATTATTGAAATTTACACTGTCAACTTATTTGGTCAAAGACACTTTCTGACTGCTGTTACCACAGCTTGCCACCATTAATTTTCTTGATAAGAATTTAACTCAATAATTCGTTGAAGGCTACAGGGCCACAATACCTGAGATGATATTGTACTAAAATAATGAATAGTTTGGAACTAACACATATTACATATCATTTGAAATACCTTTAAAAATATGATGGACTACAAAAGAAATTAATTTCTCAATATTTAAAAAAAAAAGAAATAATCTAATTTTCCTATTGGCAGGCCATACCATAACAAATGCATGTTCAGTGTCTGTGGCACCCACCTGCTCTACTGGAGGTTTCTCTGGGTCCTCTGGTATCCAGACCAGAGTCAGCTCTGATTTCTTCCCCACCTTATGATGGTGGAATGAGGCCAGGCCCGTAACAGACTGAAGGTGGAAACAAATGGTGTCAAACTGTTGTAGATGAAGCTGTCACTTGACCTACTGGACGGTTTTATTTTATCTCATTTCTCTCTCTCTGACTGAGCTTTTTTAGAGGTGGCACTTGGTCTTTTGCATGTCAAAGAAGAAAGGAAGTTGTTTACTTTGGTCACTTTCATTTCTCTTCCTGTGCACTGAATCTCTATAGCTGAACAGCCAATCAGTGTGACTTCTCTGACCGATGGCCAGGACTCATTGACAGCCCGACATTGGCCGACCGTCGGCCCAGTGTGTCAGGGCCTTAACAAGTTTTTAAGAACATAAAAGCAATATCTAAAAAAGAACTAGCTGTTGTATATGTGTATGTATGTATATTAAGACTGACAGTGTTCCCTGCAAATAGAGTGTACTGGAGCTGACCTTGCAGTAGATGCGTTTCTGCACTCCGTATTTGAGAACCAGCACATCAAAGGACTGATCCAGCACCCCCATCACCATGGCCTCAGAGTCCAGAGGGCCACAGTCCTGTGGAGCACACCAAGCAAATAGACATACAATATGGTTTTGACCAGACATTAAAGAACCTGTTTAAGTGTTGTCTAATTTTACATTTTTGGCATCTAGCTGAGTTGCTGAGCCCTTTTCCTTTTTTTATTGGAGAATACAAGATAACTCCAACTCACCCAGGGTCGCCCTGACGATATCACTCTTATCACAGAATATAAAATGTGGAGCAAATTATTAAAATAAGGAGCTCAAATGGCATGAAAGGTTTTGAGGAATTAAGGTGCAGAGAGAAAATAAATAACTAATGTCAAAGAAAATACTAAATATTCTCTTACATTTAGTTTTTTTCATTAACCTTGATAAACCTAAGTTATTACATGTTTGTAAAACCAAATCTCATAAACAATTAATTTATGTTGTGGTTGCTCAAGTATTTGATGCAAAGTGTCAAAAACACTCACAGCTTGAACAGCAAAATAGGATGTTTTCCCATTTGTTCCACTTGCTGACAGCATGTTGTGATTTGGCTACTCACCTTTACAAACACTCCAAAGAAGAGCTCAGAGCTGAGCTCCTGGACTCTCTTGGACAGAGTCTTCTTGTCATTACAGTGTGATGCCTGTTTTTGGACTTGTTGTGTCGACAGCCCCAAATGAGGCCCACAATCTGCGTGCAGACATCGAATGGACGGACACGCACATAGTGAGAAAAAACAAAAGAAAAACCACACATATTAAACTGATACACAGTAGGAGCAGACAGAGGCAGGAAGTGCTGCAGAATCAAGGGCAAAGGCAACAGCACAAACAATGCATCAACTCAATGTGAGATCTGAGGCTGCTTTGTTCTTTTCCGCATTTTTCTTCTACATTATCAACCAGACAGGTCATGTGACACAACCGCAACACTGTTTGAAACAAACAGGACATTCTGTTATTTGTAGAGAAGGTACGCACTGAGTGAAAAAGCCAGCAGCCGGTGGACAATGATGTCAGCGTAGCGTCTGATGGGCGATGTGAAGTGAGTGTAGAGAGGAACGTTGAGGGCGTAGTGCTTAAAAAACTGCTCCTGCTTAAGTACACCCGAACAGAAGTACAACGCCATCTGGGAAACACCAAGGACCCAGATTAAATACAGAAAGGTTTCCACATTTTAAAGACGCTGGAATTTAAAAATGTATTCAAATAGATAAGATGGAAGACCTCCAGAAGTGGTTACTGAGCTCTAACCTGCATGGGTCTGGAGCACATGTGGGTGAGGACTTCTTTTCTGGCAGTGGAATACTCATCATCACCAAGAGTAGTATTGAGACTCTTCTGCATGTTGGAAAAGCAGAAAATAGATTTTAATCATTAATACTGAGTTACACGTTTACATCAGTTTTAAGTTAAATGGCTCAAAAGCTTTGTCAATCACTTGATCACAAGTGATATCCCCGGGAGACGGAAATATTCCCATACGATACAATAAAATTATATTACAGCAGTACAGTTCAAAGCTCCTTGTTATCAGTGTGATCAAGTAAAAGAGCTAGCAAACATTAGGACATCAAATGGACAAAAATAAAAATTAATAATACTTAAAATGCTGTAATTTCAATTTGATCACTTAAAGATAATCGGAACAAAACAGATTTTCTTGTTTCTGAGATAATAGGAACTCGACTACTGACATTCAACGCTCCTGCAGAGGACAGATCAATGTCGATTCCCAACTGGTCACAGAGCTCCTGCAGCTCATCCACCATTTTGGCCTTTGGTGGAGGGTGGCGCCTGAGCAGGGCCAGCTCAGGGAATCTGCGGTGGATGTGGTGAGCTGTGGCAATGTTAGCCAGTAACATGAACTCTTCCACCAACCTAGAGACAAATACATGTGTCAAATCAAATAAATGTTTAATTTAGAAGAGAGACAGAAGGGATACAGACACAGATACTGTATCTGAGGAGGGTTTGTTACTCACTTGTTACTGTCTCTGTACTGGTAAACATAGCAGCCCTGAGGCATCATGGTCTCTTTGTCCAGGGTGAAAGACAGTTTCAACTGAAACAAAAAACACAAGGCATGTACAGAATATAATGTCCCAGAACAGATAAACAGAATAATCTGGGTTCCCACACAACGCTTAAGTATTGCTGGGTTATATCAAGTTAACCAGCTCAAATAATCAGGTTAAATCTCTTCCAGCCAACTCTTAAATGATCTTTGATGAACTATTATTTGGAACTTAAGGGAGTGGAGTGCTGAAACTCTGCAGAGAGTTTACTATATATCCTCTTTGAAAGGAAATCCTACCAAAAACAGACAGATAAACAGATAGACAAAACAAACTCAAACGTCAATTACAAATCCATTGCAGCCTGTGTTGTGCCCTTGTAATATGCTGACAAAGAGAACTACAACTCATTTATTTAAGATTTATGTCAATAATTTATTAGATTACTAATTATTCAAAGAAACATTCTGGTTTTTGCATTCTTCCAAACACAATCATATTCTGTTTGTATGCAGGGATTTTGACATATTTCCAAACTAGTACAGTAAATATTCTCCAAACTTTTAAAATCTATTAAGATTCAAATTATCTAATTAATTTTCTGCGCTAATGAACTTGTACTGAAAGCTAAATAAGTTGGATCAACAGTTTTGGAGCATGACAGTCTTTCAGACACTTCTGTCAAGCTGTCCCGTGGTATAGAAAAGAGAAAAAAAAAAAGACATATCAGCCATTTTGATATGAAATAGTAGGGTAAACACAGGTGTTACCAGTAATACTATTTAAGGTTACTATTTCATGTCAAAATGGCTGAAAAAGGTCTACAGTCAAACACAAGGCAACAAGGACTAACCTGGTCTAGTCTGAGGGCTCCTCCTGAGAAGCGCTGAGACCGGAGGTTCTTGGCAATGAAGTGCAGGTTGAGCACAGCCTGATGGATCTCATCAATGGGGTGCTCGGGGTCCACAGGTGGCAGCTCCGCGGCAGAGAACATCTTTTCGGGGGCCTCGATCATACTCTGGGCATGGTCATAACTCAACTTCACGCAGGAGCGGATGACTGAGCGGCCAAACCACTCACTCAGGATCTGGGGGGAGTTAGCAGGTGAAGTGGAACCAATGAGATGAACCAGGAAACAGGAAACAGAAAATATCCCCCAGCAAATGCCATCACTACTATCACCAAGAGCATCTGGACACAATTTCAGCTATCAGCCCCTTTACTCCTCTCTAACTGTGAACCAAACCTTTTATTGTTTGAGGGCGGCTCTAACAGCTTTTAAATGATCATACCTTTCCCTCTGGTGTGATTTTCCAAATGACAGAGAAAGTGAGTCTGTCGGTGAGAGGATTCAGACTGCACAGCTCCTCACACAGCAGCCTCGGCAACATGGGGATCACCTGGACAGTGACGAAACACATGAACACACTGATCGCTGAAGAGAAAGATACGTTTATCAAACAACAAGTGAGAGAGTGACAGTGAGCGAGATCAACAGTCACTTCAGTCAAAGGATGCAGTGACAAATGATTGCAGATTGCGGAGCAGCTTATGTGAAAAAAATATCCAAAAAGCCACATAATGCAACAAAATCAAGTATAATACCATGTAGCACATTATTAAAAAAAAAAGTGTGTGAAGGAGCACTGACCTTTTGAACCATGTAGACACTAGTTGCTCTTTGACTGGCAATGGCATCCAGAGCGTTGCCCTCCTCCACAAAATAACTGACATCAGCAATGTGGACCCCCACCTCAAAGTTACCTGTGTTAAATAGACAGTCTATGACCTCCCATACACCAGTAAAAACAGCACCCATATCTATAATCAGAATTCATCATCATCGAGCTCCACAGTTAAGGATAAAACCAACACTGCGCCCCCAAACAGCCGCCCTTATTATATTCTATGTTTAACCACTGCCGGTGGATGACATGGTCCTATTTTCAGCATCGCCACGAACAATAAAAGCAAAAGGTGAGCCAAAGCTCTGGAGACTGGTTCTTCAGGTGAGATTAAATAGTGTCCACACATGGTTTGAAGCCAATGTCTTATGGTAGACATTTTATATAGTAAAAATGTTACAGTTGGCCCTCACAGCTGAAAATGTTCAGGTTACAGCCCGCTAAACGGGACAACTATGCCACCTGCTGTTCTAAATGTGTACCAGCGTTGGGTAGTAATATCAAAGGATTCTTGGTCATCAATGTTGATCTGCCTGATCATCTCCAGGAGATTGACACGCAGCAGCGCAACACTTCCCATCTGTGCTAGGGGCAGTGCTTGATGTATGTCACATGATGCGACGCGGCATTGTGGCGGCTGTGTGTTTTTGCCTTTAAGGTAGTTTACCATCAGGTAGTTGTTTACAGGACAGAGCATCATCCAGGTCTCTGGCGGTTGCAGGGTCTATTGTGAAGATGCACTCCTTCCTACACATGATAAAAACAGTGCTCTGTGAATCATATCAATATATGTACATTAAAATGATCAGCATGTTGCCACTCAAAGAACATATTTATACAAAAAGACAGAGCTATATAAGCACATACAGGCTTCACAGCCCTACCTCAGGTCTCTCCTCTGCCTCATCTCCTCAGGTGGGATGGTCCAGGGCAGGTTCTTGGGTAGACAGCCTAGCACCTCATCTGAGAAGTCAGAAAAATCAACGTCGTACTCCATCAGGATGCCCTCTGTCTCTGGCTCGATTTCTCCAGCTTGACCCAGAGTCTTAGCGAGTTGACTGGAAGAAACATTTGGAGAGCGTCAGGTTGGTTTGGTTGGTCAGGTTGAAATTGTGCATCAAGCTTACCACAGATGAATATAACACTGACCCTTCAGCAAAGTTGCTGTCGGCCGCCCAGTAGGTGATCCGACATATGAACAAGGTGTTGGTGTAGTCGCCTGGGCGGGAACAAAAATCTTCTGGACAGTCAGCAAGCTGAACGTTGATCCGTGGCACCCGGTGGTCCACAGGGGAGAACATGGCAAAAGGTTTATCTGGTAGGAATTTCAGGAAGCCTGTGGCAGCTCTTGAATGTTTCTTCTCAACAATGTAGACCACCTGACAGACAAATGATAAGGTAAGTGGAGTGATGACTTTGAAATCTAAGGCCTAAATATCCTTAGCACAAGAGAACAAGTGACAAATTGCTGCTGAAGAACAAGCCGAACATTTACGATCTTAGGATTTCCATAGATTTCCATAGTAAAAGCCTTTCAGTGACAATAAAATAAATCTTTATCGTAAAGTAGTGAGAAACATTTTAATCTTTGGTGGCATTACATAACTCATTTGGGGTTTAATCAAGATTGGGAATGAATCTCCATTTAGTCTGACTGTTTACTGTGGATTAGTTAGTTTTACATAAGAAACTTTGTTAGGTGAAGGGTTAGGCCTTCAGTGGAGTTTAGACTCATATTCAACTTCCAGATAACATAAGCCATTAGTCACATAAGTCACCTTTGTGGCATCAGGGAAATGCTCGTAAAAAAGGAAGGGAAGGGGCTGAGTAAGAAATACAGCACAACAGATAGACAGGAAGCTCACTTTAGCAGTCTTTTGGAGTATTTCCCCATTGGATCGTGGGTTTGAGGGGTCCTCCAGAGGTTCCCCTATTTCCATCAGATGAAAGGACAAATTAGTGTATTAGCTGAACTATTGTTTTGTTTGTGTGCACTGACACTCTCTTCAGACCAGTAAATAAACACTCAAACACAGATTACTGAGCATTACCAAATACCAGCTGAATTATTATTACTTGACACCACAGTTCCTATAATAACTGTGATTTGGAATAGCTGCTGTAATCACAGCTCCATCTCAGTACCTGTGTCAGTGAGTGTGGTATTCTGAACTTTTCTGATGAGTTCATCCTGGTCGCTGCACTGGTCTTCCATAATACCATCAGGCCTGGGGGTGCGCGCTGTCTTCTTCTGTGCTTTTGGCACTGTGTTTTCTCTCTGAGTGTCTGACTCACTGGTGCCCTCACAGTCGGTGTCTGACCTCACAACCTAGACAGACAAAAAAAATCCTCATCTGTTCATACTGCTGGTGTGTTTTGCTATGCTGTGGAACAAAAGCCAAAATTGAGCCTGTTGTATTAATGCAACTAAAAATGTACATGGACAGCGTAGTCTACCTTCCACTGCTCCCGAGGGAGGACTTGCACCACTACTATGTCTCCATTCAGCGCTCTGTTGCGAGCTACAATCCCATCCAGAAATATGTCCCGTGTGTCATCCTGCGAACATAAAAAGAGATTTCACGTGTTTACCAACAGTCTTTGAAAGTTTTACATCAAAGTCAGGTTAGTTTGGATCTTTTGAAGTGTGGATATATGAGGAACTTTTCACATAGTCAGTGTACAGTAGATTAGAACTGAATCAGACAGGAGTCCTAGCACTGACGCTAAGCAATATACTGCTGTGGACTCTTTAACCAATAGGTTCAGTTTCATGGTACACTACAATATATAGGGTATAGTTTACCAGTGCTGTGGAAGTATGTGTGGCTATGTGACACTATAGTTTCCCCTCTCTTCCCCACTGTTTAATATCCATCTGCAATAGTTCCCTTGCCCCTACAGTGAATGGCAATTTGTTGTCTGTAATCACTCATTTTTATTTTCCTGTATTTGTTTTCACTTTCATAAACCACTGTAACTCTAGCCCAAACAGCTGATCTGTGGCATAATAAAGTGCGAGGCACAGCTGGGCATATGCCACTATCCACAGCAATATACTGTTTAGCTTTCATGCTAGTACTCCTGTCTGATTCTCCAAACTGGGAGTGCACTGTGTTCTACTGTAATACACTGATTGTGGATAAGTAGCTCATACAACTCCAGTTACATTTATTACACAGTATACTACAGACATACAACAGCTTAGCTATAAGGTGCTTTTACAGAACCCATCAAACAAGTTCTTCAGGCAGCAAAACATGATGTGTCATATTTGTTGTAGGTTGAACTTACAGGAGATGGGATGAAAGCTTCATGGTACTTCTTTGGGTTGATCCTTAACTGTCCCTGCAAAGAAAGCATGTACAAATGAGAAATTAATTCACCAATACACTGTGTGATTATGCTATACCGGCTGTTTAGATGCCACTTAAGTGCACCTAAGTGTCTTTAGTTCAACTGAACTGGAACTAAGTGGCCAGGGAAATATGTAGGATTTAATATGTTTATGTGTGTATACAGAGGGCACAAAATACAGTTTATTATTTTAACTATCAGCAAGAAATCAAATATTTAGAAAACTTGTAAACCCATGTAGTTTGGCCAACTTGAGTAATTTTATCTATACTTAATATAGTTTAAAGTACAGTCTTGGGAACAATGACTCTGGTTTTGTACCTGAATAAGTTCTCCTCTTTTAAGGCCATGGGAAACCTCCTCAGACGTCATGTAGGACTCAAACACTTGTTTCTTTGATCCTCTGCTTCCTCTGTTTTTATTCTTCTCAGCAGGAGAATTGGTACTTGAAGCTGAAATAGATTTAATCCACCATAAATCATCAAATGCATAAAAACAACATAATCTCAACACCTGCTGAACATTAACATCTCAAAAACTAACCTACAATTTACCTCTGGGCAGCTGCTGTTTTTTGTCTTTACCATGAGGAGACTTGGGCCTTGACATCTGAGCGTCAGCCTCGGGTTTGAATGTCCCTTCTCTGCTCTTCTCCTCTTCTGGGTGCTTTGACGAGTTTTTTTTCTTTGACTTTGTCATCTTGTCTTGCTCCTGTCCAGATGTACTGGCTTTCTTTGGGGACTGGGGACGTCCAGCAGATGAGTCAGTCTCTTTAGAGTCCTTACTTTTCTTCTGCTGCTTCTGGTGTTTTTTTGAGTCAATGGGTTTCAAAGAGCCGAGTTCCTCGCCAGACTCGATGTCTCCATCTTGGCTGGTGGCGGTGTCCCTTCTCTGTCCCCGTCGCTGCCTGTCAGACACACCCTGTTTCCTCTCACAGTCCTGCTGAGCACTGCGGGTGCTTAGCTTCTCCATGTACAAAGACAACGAACTGTCCTCTCCTTTACTTTTCATGGAGGAGGGGGAGAAATCACTTGAATCAGAGAAATCATTGGGAACTTGGTCCCTTTTTCGCTGTGGTATGTTCAGTTTCTCACTCTGGACTTTGAGCAGGCTTGGCCCATTCCCGTCCCTTTGTGAAGACGTATCCTTTGCATATTGCTCTAGATACAGACTGAACTTGCTGCTGCTGTGCTGGCTGAGAAGTCTAGCATAGGCATCTTTCTGAGGAGGAGTGCTTGACTGATTCTGGCTGCGCTTTGGCTCTCGGTTGAGGTTAGCCTTCTTCGATTGCCGAGGAGAATCCATAAGGCAACCCTGAAAGTCTCTGAAAAGGCAAAAGGCAAAATACACTGTGAGTGCTTCCATTCAAGCATGAGTCAATAAACAGACAGCTTTCAAGCAAGGTAGCTTTAAGTTAATAAAGCAACAAATTACACAATTCAGTGCACTCAACATATGGGGGAAACAGGAGATTGCTATCATTTGATGGAAAAGCAACTCTTATGTTGCTGAGTCGTCCACTCATATTGCATCATGTAACTTAGTTAACGTTAAGTTAGTTAGGTTTGTAATAATGAAGGTAGACATGACTGGAAGTTAACCTCGTTAATGTTAGCCAAAGTTACATTCTTCAGGATGTAGGACACGAAAAAACAAAGCCCGTATCACCCCACTGTCTTCAGGTTTACCGTCTCATTAGACTGAAGCATTTCCAAACATATCCTTGCTAACAGCTAACGAACAACAGTGATTAGCAGTGGCTGGCTAGCATCAGCTACATGGAACGGCAACTAACTACTTCTACGTCAGACCTGAAGCACCGTAACAGACTCGACAACGAACAGAAAGATTGTCAAACTTCAGTTTTTAAACAGTACCTTACTCACTATCTGTAAGTTGTGTAACTTAGCAAGCTGTCCTTCAGAGCGAAATGCTAGCTGATGCGTTCACTTCCACCCTCGTCACGGAATGGTTACAATCATGCTACCTTTGAGTGCTGTCGGAAATATCTGAATCAGTCGAACGCACAAAAACGGAGAAAGTGGAGATTTATGTATAATAATATCATAGAATACACAGTTTTAGCTTGCCCTCTTAACAAGCATTATTCAGGAGCACATGGAGGAAACGTAATGGGACAATCCTGTTACTACACATTAGACTCATTGAATCAGTATCATAAGGCAGTAGCTACTTTTTTGGAAATACCCACTGATTCTGCTGGCTCATATAATTTGGTGTGAAACACTACACCCAAATCAATCAGTATCCCCAGTAAATTGCCATCCATACCATCATCATACAACCTCTAGAGGGCAGCAAAGACTAAATATTTCATTTGTCAGACTGCACAGTGGCATATCGCTGTGTGTGCCAGTTGTGCAAACAGCTTATCCTGTCTGATGGGAATGATCGCAATAAAGTAAACCTAACATTCAGTCAGAGAGAGATGTTTGTGTGTGTGACGTCTGGGTGTGAGTGTGTGTAGGCATGTGTAATTTTATCACCTATATTGTCTGGATATTCTCTCTTCTCTCCTGACAACCTGATTTCACACCTGTCTGTTCACTCTTGCTTCGCTTGCTCATGCACACACACGTTCCTCCGTATAATTCCTCCAGGGATGGTGATTTTTGAGACGACACAGTGTAGGCTTAGTGTGGATGGGGCTTTCAGAATCTGAGGGTATAATGTAGATGAGGTTGTCATGTCTCACCTTGATAGAGGCCCAGAAAGTCTCACAAAACTCATTCACAGACAACTTATACAAACACACACATGCACACACACACACACACACACACTGATGCCTTTAGCAGTCGTGGTTGTGATTGCATTTTGTACAGTAAAGGCTTTGCATCACTGAGGGGAATACAACGTTTTATCTTACCTGCTGTTTATATCTGTCATGTGTATCTGCCGTTCTCAACAGTGTGAGTTTGTGACGGCTGAATTTAAAAACAGACACCTGAGTCTGTTTTGCTCAGCTCCTCTACAGGATTGTGCCCTGTAACCCCACAGCCAGTTGGCCTCATTGACTACATCACAGTACACATATTTTCTGTGACACTTCACCAAAACCACTCACACTGTCTGTGGAAACATCTGGTCTCTAATTATAACCCACCTGTGCAGTATTATTTGTCAAACAGAGATGGCGTGATAAGGCTGTAATTTGATTAATTATACGATTTAATTAAGTCTCACCTGCTGTTGCGGTATTAGACAAAGATTGTATTTATGCAAGGTTTAAACACAGCAGGGTGTTTTCAGTTTAACAGTTGTTGGAAACAGTATTGAACTAATTCTGAACTAAACTAATATGACCAAGGGGATCATAGACCGGTATTGAGGCCAGAGAAAGTAGTGACTTACGACTTACAGGCAGGAGAAGGCACATGATCATCAAGAGCAACACTGGATTTCATTTGTCTTGATACATTTGACTAAGACCAATTTAAAGGCAATTGCATTAATCTGCATGTCTTTGATATGGAGGAAAGTGAAGAAAACCCATCAGATATGGGGGAAAAATGCAAACTCCTACAGAAACACACAGCAACATGTCTATAGATACCACAGTTTTTGCCAACATTTGGTAGGATGCTGTAATATTACACATTCTTACCATTCATTTGGAACAATGTGCTAATATTTGCAGATGAAATAGATTTTCTCTAACCAGCATTAATTGATAATGCAGATCCCTTGGGAAATTAACATAGTTTCCAGAAACCTTTTTCATCTACATCAAGAAACTGCAGAGCCCTGCCATTTAACAGAATAATTACTTTCAACCTTATACTATTTCCTTGCTTTGAATGTTGATGGCCTGTCTCTGTTTTACACCACCAAAAAACTGGTTGATTTGACTTCAGCAACTTAATGTGAAAACATTTCTTACTTATAGAGCTTTGCTGATGTTGACAGCTTCCACATTAACACAGAAGATGCTATTATGAGAGTGAACATAACACAGTACCTACACATATTCCAATCTTAGATGAATCACAGATGACTTGATGTTATAATTCTTGATCTAAAATCTTTTACTTTTAAAAGTCAGGACATAAAAGCAATTGTGAGGCAAATCATTAATTGATTTCTATTTCTAGTGACTCTCCAGTCTGTGTTTGATTATAGATTTTCATTAAAAACACAACCCTTAAAAATAAGACATTGTAAACTTTTCTACTGAGCTCTGGTCTTCCTACTGACATCAACTTAACTTTTTCTAAATCAAATCAGACTCCTGCGCGTGCAAAAAAATTAAATAAATAGAGTAAAGGCATCAGAGGAAATACCCTTTTGCTCATAAGCCTTTTTTCCTTCCTTTGCTCTCGTCTGAGGAAATCTAAAGGAACCTCTCGGAGGACTGGGGGAGCGTGGGTGAAAGAAGGGCTGGTGCAGCAGCCTCTCTACCTCTGTTGCAGTTGTACGGACTCAAGTTGTAAAGCATGCAGATGAAGCAGCAAATGCCTATCAAATATTCATCAGGCCAGGGGTGGCAGTGCAGCTTGTAAAAGAGGATGAAATAGAGGGGGCAGGAGCAGTCACTCATCTCTTTACCTCTGATGCTCTCTCACTACATGGTACTGCCCCGTTTCCTCCGCCTAATTCACCAACTCCACCACTTACATCTTTTTTTGATTGGGCCTGGAGTCTGTTTAGTCATTCAAGCCAGTGTACAAAGCGAATGAAAGAGTTCATGGTGATTTATGTTATTCACAAGTACTTTCTTTTCAGTATTATCTGTTCTATCTAGTACATGTGCAAGTATAAGGCTGATCTGACACAGACTGAAGAGTGTGTGTGTGTGTGTGTGTGTGTGAGAGGTGGATACTTTAAGTCTAGCTGTAGATGCTGCAAGGCCAGACAAGCTACCTTCCCCATCACTGGCTGCAGCAAGCAGCGGGTAGCACAGGGAGATCTCTACGGTCGTCACCTTTCACTGCCATGGCAACGGCCTGCGAGTCACCCCGGGCAAGCTACACACTGCAACACCCATTTAAAGTCTGGGGCCCTGACTCCTGATGAGCCCTGGAGAATGTCAGGGTAAGACCGAGGTGGACTCACACACAAACACAACAACAATGCTTACATGTTGGACTCATAAAGTATCTGAATACAGGAAGCAATGGTTACGTTTTCATATCTCTGTTTAACTGTTTTTGTTTATAACATAATTCACTGTATGGCCAAAAGTAAGTGTTTTTAATCGGATAGGTCCCATAGTTACATTAAAGAAAGGCTCAATGCTACAACATACAATAATATAGAATATTTAGACATCATTGTACAACCAACTCTGTGGCAACTAAACAGTCTTGTGATCCCTGCAGTTTCTAAGGTTTGAAGTCTATGTCTCTTGCGTATTTCATTAGTTTTTATATATTCACTTTTATGAACTGTACATTATAGAGCTTCACTCTGTGTTTGTCTAACAGAGAGACCTAATCAAAACTTTATAATGCAACAGAAGCTACATAGGAGCCCTTACGCACTTATGTGATATCCTACAAATATGTAATGATATTCCCTCAAATTCTTCACATATGTCATCTACATGAGCCAAAACGGCTTTTTGATCATGGACATTAATGCAAGTATACCAACTCCAGCTACTGTTATTTCTGCACCAACTATGTTAAGGGTGAATGTACCTGGTTTTCTGGCTGCCTGAGCCCTGCTGCATTTACAGCATCACCCACTGCTGTATTCTCCAGCTTCTCCATCTGATCACCAGTAATAAAGGACAGGATCACAATACAGTTTACCCTCTGCATTGCTGACTTAATGACTGTCTCGACAGAAAGTAGGAAGGCTGATATTCTCATTAGTAGATACCGTAATGGTGTACAATGTAACATTGTTGTTTTTTTACTGAATTCTACTTCCATTTGTATTTTCCACATCATCAAGTTTCAAAACAAAAATGTTGCACTGTTCGAATATGTATCAATCCAAAAAAGTTCCCAACTCAAATTCACAGAGCATGTGTTGCTTTTTATGTTTCAAAAGGGAGGTGTATTACATCATTATGGTAAGTTTGTTTGTCTGTGGATACTGTAGTCATATCTGATTGTTGAGTTTTTGGAAGGTGTGTTTACTGTCAAGTCAGTTAAGTTTTACTGATATAGCTCAATAAATCACAAATTTGCCTCAAGGGCCTTTACAATCTACACGGCATACAACTCCCTCCATCCTCAGACCCTGGATTTGGGGTCTCTCTCCCAGGAGGGACGGACATGCAATAGATAGTGTGTACAGAATAGACCAACATCGTTAAATAACAGCAACAGCATGGACAATCAGGATGACAAAATTATAGATACTGTAATATAGCCTGTGCTTCATTTAACACATCATTCATGTAAGGCTCAAAATGAGTGTACTGTTTTGGGAAACATGGTAATACAGTTGGTAACTTGGGGTTTATTTTAAGAAACGTGAGTAAGAAGCTGAAAAAACAATCACACAGGCTACGGGGTGTATTGTTTACGTGTCCACATACTTTTGGTAACAGTATATTACTCAGTATAACAAATGAACATGTTTGTCTTGTTGGTATGTCCCTCACTCACACTGTTCTAATCTAATTTTAGATTCAGTGTAATTGCCAAGCTGCTCCTTCATCCTCATCACTGAGAGCTCATCATCATCATCATCATCACCATCATCATTACCACCCTCGCTTTTCTTCTTACGGGCGCTACTTTCAGCACCGGACAGCTCCCGTATCGCCCACGCTCCGCCCACCTACGGCAGACTGGCAGTGAGAAACAACCACACACACCGGTGGGCGACACTTAGGTGGCCTATTAGGGTTTTATTGGGAGGGACGGAGGTTCAAGAACAATTTGCTCCGTTGCTCGTCATCCTACTCCTCTCACATGGATTTCTCCGAGAAGGAGTAACAAGAGACCGTGAGCGCTCGCTTCCAACGTCGCTTCATGTGAATGGATTGCGGACTGGTGAGGAGTCAGAGCTGTTGTTGTTTT